GGTCTATGGAAACATCACGAACTGGGTCAGAGTCCGTCACTTGACGGACTCCCGTTTCATGACAAACACATGCAGTGTCTGTCTCGCGTGCGTTTTTGCGTGGGAGGGGCGGGGTGACTACATCAGGGTTGCTTCGAGCGGAGAAGAGGAGGGGCATATCTCATAACGAAAAAAATAAAATAAAAAGAACATTGCTAGTCAATCTGGTGACCAGTGGTTGGGTTGGCTGTTAAATGCGATCTTGGTTGACAGTTCAACAGCTGTCAACAAGCCAGTCCACTCACCAGATACGTCAACTGTCTCGCTCCCGGCCGGTAAAGAAGCTAGCTTTGTTGTCGACCTCTCAGTCTCACAGACAGCAATGATATTGTCCCGTGTTTTTATTTCACCATGCTGTGTGTGTGTGATTTTGTATGTGTGTGTGTGTGTGTGTGTGTGTGATTGTGCTGCCTGTGCATGTGGCGCTGTGATTTCCTAGCATCTAGGAATACCCGGTTTTATTCAAAGCAGCGAGCGGGGTGTTCCCTTGTAATATTTTCTTACTGCTTTCTGGAACAGAGAAGGGGGGGTTGGCGCGGGGGCGTGTCAGCGGTCCACTCCATATGTCACTGCCACGCTTATGGCAAACAGCAGCCGGCGCGAACAATAACCATCATAACCTTGACGCATTCTTGTCAACCGGGAATCGATTTACATTTTGCTCCGTGTGCTTGTGCATCCTGTCATCCTCTCCGCCACGTTCCTTATTTGCCGACGGTATTTCAGTTCTCGTACGTGACTTTCACAGAATGTTTCCTGCGGTGATCCATTTGCGCTGTTGACTAAAACCAAAGAAAATAGTCATCTATTTCAAGTGAAAGTGAAGCGAGGATTTTTTTTTTTTTTTAGAATAGCTAAGCTTCAAGGACACCCCCCCGCCCCCCACACACTGTACATTATAACCACTTAGCAGTCCGAAGTGGAACGGCGTTGACCTCGCTGACTCCAACGCGACATGTGATGCGTTTTCTTCCCTTTCCGTCTGTCATTCCGATCTCACGTGACCCGTCAGGCGAGAGCACCAAAGTGTGAAATATCAACTTGTCACTGTCACACGTTGATGTCAGCATGTCCACAAGAATGACTTGACGGGGGGAAACCTTTGGCAGATATTTAAAAAAACAAAAAAAACAAACAAAAAAAAAAAAAGGATCCAATTATGTAGTTTCTTGTGTCAAGAGATTCAGTGAGGTGGGAGCTTTGGGTTTTTATTGACAGCTTTATGTTTTACGCTAACTCGTGCTCCTCTATGTCGGTCCTGCAAATATGATATTAGGCAGCGTAGCCGAGCGCCAGTGCCAGACGGGCAACGCATTTCAATGCGTAGCCATTCAAGGTCACGAACGTTTTGAATGAGTTCAGCCATTTACCGAAGCAGCAGCAGCAGCAGCGGCACGAGGTCACTCGCACGGTCACGGTCACTGGCTATCTGACTGAAAACGCACCCATAAAACCCGGATAATAAAATCTGAATAGAAATGAAGGAGTGCTTGATGACACATAGGCAGGAAAAAAAGCTCTTAGTGTGCAGTTTTATTGACGGCACTTGGACTTGCGTCGAAAGCTAAAATTCAACTTTGAACATTTTGTCTTTGAAAGATGAAGGTTAATACGCCGCTTGTTTTATGACGGAGTGGCCTAAAGAAATGAAACGCTTACATCACCGTTGGCACTTGTGGGCTTCAGGTAAAATCCAGCACTTGAGCGGAACCTGATTTTGAATGATTTTAATTGCTCAACTGAGTTGTAATAAAGCTGTTCGTACTTCCGACTTTTATTCCGACGCCCGGGCCATTCGGGGCTTGCTTCAGAACAGTTCCGCATCCATTTGCCACGTGTGCGAAAGAAGAAAAAACGGATTGACAGCGGCGGAACAGAAAGGAGAAGTTGGGTACTTTTAACGTCACAAATAAATTTGGTGATCAAACAGCGGTTGCGATCCGAGCTTCGAACCGCGGATGTCGCTAGCCTCCGCGCAGCATGCTAATTGCTTCGGCGCAAGACTTTTAAAAGCCGCTGAAACGCCCTTGAATATAATGATGGAACAAGCGTGGTCAACGTGATAACACGCCACAGAGGATGTGAGCTGGCAGAGTCGACAGCGCTGGCACCGGCGTGAACAGCGGCGATGAAGCCACGGGAGCCATTTTGTGGCTGATTATTCATGACGCCACTGTGCTATAATGTTCCATTACACGGGGATCCTCTCATTAGGCCAAAACTGACTCTAAAGGCCATTAAAGTTTCAGTCGGCATGAATAAGTCAAAGAGTTCTGCCTCTGATCATGCAGCGCAGAGTCCCCAAACTCATCTTGGGAGCCTGGCATTAAAAAAAAAAATTAAAAACGAGCCTCTTTCAGTGCTCGGTTTGCTCAATTAAATATGTGTGAAGGGCAGGAGGTTGGTGTCAAGGTAGGCTTTTTTAGATTTCAAGCCCCAGCATGTGCTTCTTAGGCAGCATTTCCAGGAGTATCGATTAGAATTTTGCCGCGGGTAAACGACTCCTGATGGGATCTCGGCAGTTAGGGGATCACTGCCGAGCCGCGGAATGGCTCGCAGGCTTCATGTGCATCTCGATCAAGGCTGCTTTATTGGCCAGGCCAAGAGACGTGACGTTGACGTGAGCGCGAGCCTGTCAGGTCTGCCACAGCAGGCATGCAGTCGCCGGTGACGTGAAGAATCATGTTTCCACGCAGCTAGCAAACAATGATTCGTTCATTTTGCGTATTTTTAGTGCAGTCGTAACCTCTACTTACAATGTATCTTCAAACGAAATTTTCAAGTTATGAAACGTCTCAACAGGAAAATATTGCCTCTTGTTACGAAAGAAATTTCAAGATACGAAAGGTAAAAAAATACAGTCTGGGCTGCCACGTCACTGCATTTGCGGATTTTCAGTTATTATTATTATTATTATTTCGCTGGCATTACGCTCTCTTATGTGCAGTGGCTACAATGGTCTGTCGAAATAATCTCTTTTCGGGCTCGGTGATAAAATGAAAAAAGCGATTCGCAAAATTACTTTTCCTCGGCAGACATGTGAGATGCGGTCGAAAGACATCCACAGATTGCATCCGTCCATGTTTTGACAAGAGAATGTGAATAGCTCGAGCTGCTCGGCACGGAACCATTCATTGGGTTGTAATAGAGCCGTAGCAGACTGCTGAGGTTCACTTGTGTTATTTCATTTTTTTTTTTTGTCTTTGACAAGAAACGGGGTAGCATACACTGCAAATTTGTCAAGTGTGTGTTACCGCAAACACAGAGAATTCCACTATTTATTTTATTTTACCACCTGAAGAAGTGCCAGCCGTGAAAGCACGCTCAATGCAGGGTCGAAGCAAGAGCTTCTCCCCACCCTGAAAACAATTGACCACGGCATCCTTTTTTTCTCAGGTACCTCTTCCAGCTCTTTTTTTAATTAAAAAAACAACAAAAAAGAATACCTCAAGAGACTATCACAAAAAACATGCGACCAATAAGCACAGCTGACAATAAGGGGTTGAAGAGGGTAATTGAAAGTAAGGGTTCCTCGTTAGCAACTCCTTGGTCGGAAATTGGAGTGCCCCGAAAAAAAATGAGCACCAAAAAAAAAAAACAACCTCTGGTGCTCCTTTGCGAACCAGACCCCAATTGCTTTGTGTATCTCAGTATATAATGACCCTTTAAGTAATGGATACTTGAACAGAAAAGGTACCGCAACACGTGAAAAAGTAGAACAGTACGCACAGGCATATACAATATTTTTTATCCTGAGCGAAGATCTGAGACGAGCGTAGCCTCCAATGTCCTTGAATTGTTAATTATGTTTATTTCTTTTAATGAAGTACAATACTGTAAATTGCTGTTTTTTTTTTTGTCCTTAAAAAAAGGTTGATTGTTTTTTTTTCTGAGAAGGCTGGAACAGATTGATGACATTTCCATTTATTTGAATGGGGAAAGCCGATTTGAATTACACGTCGATTGAGTTCAGGATGTGGTCACAAAACAAATTCCACTCGTATGTCGTTTCAATGACCCCTGTAATCATTTGGTGTTTCATGACCTTACGGGCATGTATTCCTTGCAAACATTGTACAGTCACTCATTAGCACATAGTGCCTTTGTTTGTGATTGCAAGTTCCTGGATAAGGACATGCCGGGTGAACTTGATGTTGTGGCCGGAATGGGTTTTTACCTGATGTATTCGCCGTGATCTATGCAGGCAAGTCATGTGTGGAGAAGAAAGCGTTGTTATTGGCATTGGTTGGGGGGCAAACCAAGATGAATGGCGCTATTGACTTCAAATACAGCCCCTTGAAAGCCTCGCCAGTGCCCCATCCATTATATTCATGACCTGCAGGGCTTGGAGGGGAGGGGAGGCGCCCACCTGCTCTACTCCAGAACCGGAGACGGCCGAGAGAATCAAGGAGGCCTCCTCCTCCTACTCGCTGGCGTCAAACTGACCCACTTCATCTCCTGCTGCACCCGCCTCCACCACCCCCGGCCCCTCGCTGTGCTATTACCTGCAGAAAATGGAACCGCGTGCTTGAGGTTGCGAAGCTGAAGAGTAAAAGCTTTTCTTTTTTTTTTTTTTTTCCCCGAAGAAAGTGCGCCATTTCATAACGCTGCGACATCACGTCATGGGCCGCCGTGCGGGGATGTTGATTTGAAATCAGTTAGACACCAGGCAAATTGGCCCAGCAAATGCATCATTTGCCAAACTCCGCATCGCCCAAATGGAAGGCGGCGGTATGGGATAAATTGCGTTGGCGCTGATTGTTTACGATCCTCCAAGCCTCGCCAAAGGTCGGGACGCAGCTCGTCGTTTTCACGGGTTGACATTGAGAATGATCGGCTCAGACGGCGAGCATGACCGTGCTTGTCACAACTGACTGTTTTCTCCGCTCTCTCTCTCCGTCGACTGTCTTTGATTGCCTACTTACGCACGGTCGTATTTGCTTTTCTGTCATGTGTTGTAGGTCTCTCATGGTGACGGATGGCATGGGCATCAAGAACGCGAGCTTTATGAAGATTGCTGCAGTGGGCACCTGGATGGGGGACTTTGTTACTGCGTGGATGGTGAGAGTCAACATGGAGTTGATGCAAAGTTTTTTTTCCCATTGACAGGCGCCTGAGCGCTTGTCGTATCTTCATTTTCATGCCGGTGTAAGTCGAATTCACCACGTTCAGGAATTTGGCAGACCACGTTGCGCCTTGCCGGACGTTCTGGAAGACGGAGCTGGCGTGCCCCCGGCGCATCTGACAATTTGGTGACAGAAAGTAGACGGTGCTCAGCCTAAAAATGAGTTGATCTTCATTTTTGTGCCAGGGCAAGTCTAGTTTAGCATATTTGTGACTTTGGTAGGCCGCGCTCCACCTCGATAGGCGTATTTTATGACATACCCCCGACGCATCTTACAATTTGCCCATCCACAGTGGCCAACTTTACATCATCGGCAAGTGGTCTTCTTACGTTCCTTTTTAAACGCACACCGATCTCTTGCATGGACATGCCATGTAGGCCGTGCAGCTGTCTCTCTGCGCTGAATTTAAAGGGAATGAGTGGAGCTACTTCGATTGGCTGGGAGTCAGCTGTGTTCCCTCCCACAACAGAGCAAACGCGCACCTCTAGCTGCGCTAGTTGAGAAAAATGCCAAAACCAAGAATACCTTTCAGACTATGTTTTGCGCTCCATTTGGGCATGAAAATAGGGCCGCAAATATTTTGATGCTTACATTTCTCGTGACCTGAACCAAACTGTCAGTCATCAAACCCTAAATGGCAACATTTCAGCTCATCAAAATAATAATCAATGATTTACTTTATCCCCACGCGTTGTAAATTATACATGCATTTTCATATGTAAGATGACAAATGTAATCCTATATTTGTGCACGGGTACAATTTAAAGTGATCGATAAATGAGCTGACGTACCTCGTAAAGGCAAGGAAAGGAAACAATAGTCAAAATGAAAGCCTCACTATAAGGCAGCAGAACCTTGTGAAGACAATTAATATTTCTAGAATATAACTGTACATCCATCCATCCATTTTTTTTTTTTTTTTTTTAATACCAAGAGCTGGAGCCTGTCCAAGCTGACAGTGGGTGAGAGGTTGGGTACACCCTCAACCGACTTCGAGCCAATTTCAGGGCAAATATAGACAAACAACCATTCACACTCACAAATCATACCTGTGTACAATTTCGGAGTGGTCACTTCACTTAATATGCCCGTTTTTGGTATTTTGGGAAAGAGTCCAACCCATCATCTTCAAAACGGCTCACCAGCATTTCACTGTGTGGCCTGTAAGATAATTACAGTGCTCAACACAGCAAAGTTCTCTTTGCAACAGCTACTGTGCAGCTGCTTATTATGATCAACGCCCGTATGTGGACTGTAATGGTGGAGGGTAAAAAGAAAAAAATCCATCTCCACACCTTTATCTGCACCTAAATGGAACAACAAACAAAGCGTGACCACAAGTATGAGGTGTGAATAATTGCTCTCCGTTTATATTTGCGGTTGCCAATTTGAACCCTCACGCAGCCACTCAAGTGTGCTGCCACATAGCGTCATCATCATATTGTCTCTTGAGAGGACGTGAACGCAACATTAGCTTGATTAAAGTTAAGCCGAGTCTGACTGTGCAAGGGAGGGGTGGGGTGGGAGGGCTAATTGGGAAGATGAATTGCACGTGTTATGCGAGGCTCATTGAATCCGTTTTTGAATTAACCGGTTAGCACAAATGACATTTTCCCGCCCGGGCCCCAACCTCACATTTTTTGCCTCAGCGGTTTCTAACGATATAAAACAATTGTCCTTTTATTAAGTCTTTGAGAGGGGAGTACTCCCAAGTAAATTATTGAAAGCTGTTAAAAAAAAAAAAAAATCACATTCACATTCACAAGCCTATAAAATTTAGATTGCATGTTTTAGCGCACACCTCATTCATAGGTCAGGTGTATCCTTTTCAGGCCACTTTACTCCGCCGGCAACGCGCCGTTTCATCCGAAGGAAACAAGGGAACACCCGCCCCCCCCCCTGTAAAATTGTCAGCAATAAAGAGAAGAGGTCTCTCCCACATCGGCGTGCACACTGCTCAGACAAGTTGACAAGCTCCTCGGCTGGTCAAATTAGTATTCCGTGCACGCTGCAGAGAAAGACGGGCCACGGGACGAGAGACGAGATTGGACGTTTTGGAGACCGAGAAGCAGACGTCATGCCGAAGGGGAAGCAGCATGGATAACCGCAGATTACAGATTTTGATGATTATTAATTTTTTTGTGCATTCTATTAATTCACCAAGGTGCATTAAAACTCATTCTCATGCCAAAGACAGTTTTTCACTATTTAATTTATTTTTTACGAATCCATTTTTAACAATCCAGGCATTCAATCCCAGGTATATCTTCATACGGTTGTCAGAAAACAAGATTTTGACAAGAATTGACTCGGCATTTAGTTGGTGATGAAAGTGACTTTGCCGTTTCTAATTTGAACGTTTCCAATTTACATTTTGCTGAGTGTCACAATCACTTCGTGACCAACTGTTCCCATTCTTTCGACAGGTGACAGATATGATGCTTCAGGATGAGAACTATCCGCAGTGGGGGAAAGGCGCTCGAAGGTTCTGGAAACAAGGCAACAATAGGATTGTCCTCTTCTGGTAAGATGCCCCGATGCAGTCATTTTTTAGATGCAGTCGCTCCTGCAGTAAATCTGGATCTTGAACCCGCGCGCGGTTGCGGGGGCTACAGTGGTACCTCCATTTACGAAATTGGTTCTGGAAGAAATTTCTTAACTCAAAAAGTTTTGTAAGTAGAGACGTGTTTTCCATGTAAATGCCCTAATCCGTTCCAAGCCCCCCCAAAATTCAGACATAAATGTTTTCTAAAGCATAAAAATGCATCAAAATATGTCACAAATACATGGCACAATAGGATTATGGCACAATAAATGAGAGTTGTGTCGAGTCAAGAATAAAAATGATGGTCATTTAACTTTTAACTGCGTCCTCCTCGTTTTTTTGCCCTCTTTAGTTCATGTTCTCTCTCAGAAGTGGTTTTTGCCTGGCGTTTTGTCAAGAACTGATCCACGTTTGCTTTTGTCAGCTTTTAACAATCCTTTGAAAAATGTCCGTTGGCGACCCCTGTCACGTGCCTCATGTCGGTTCGTCGTGTGTACATCCGCAGACTATCAAAGGGCTCCGAGCGGCCGGTAGCCGTGTTAATCGTTCATCGTTGGTGTCAGCACCTTTAAATGAGAAAGACGGGAGGGGAAATCGATGAACATCGCGAGGTCACATGGCAAATCCTCGCCTCGTATTTTTTTTTTCTCGTCGTGACCTTTCAATAACCGCTAAACAAATGCTGCAGACCCTGGAGGGCCGACAGATTGGAGGATCGAAGTTTCTGTCACGTGTGTTTGAGTTTCGCCAGCGAGATGAATGTCCGTCTCCATTTCTGACAAGGCTTTGTGTGGGAACGTTTGTTGGAATTGTTTCTGTGTTAACGTTGCTCCTCTGCAATGAAACGTGTTTTTATCAAGCTATAAGTTTGGAGGAGGGGGGGGGGGCTGTTCGGGGATGTAAAAATACTTTTTGAAGTGATTAGTGGCACTGAGCACTAATAAATGTTGATGTTGAGGGATTATAATCAGCATCATCAAAGAAATTTAAAAGTCATTCAGTGCCAGCCATTTTTAGACCCTTCTCGACCCCACCGCATGATTTTTTTGAAAAAAAAATAGAATGACATTCCTGGGACGTGACCCCTGGATTCTTAAAAAAACATGACAAAAACGTCTTTGTTGTTGAATTAAATAAAAATTGTAGGTTTGTTCCCATTCAATCAATCAATCAATGCTTCATTTTATTGTGCTTCCACTCTTCTTCTTCTTCTTCTCCTTTCGGCACGTCCCTATTCAGGGGTCGCCACAGCGAGTCAGTAATTTCCATCCGCCCCTGTAAACCGTCCTACCAACTCGCATGGTCGTCTTGGCAAAAGTTTTACGCCGGATGCCATTCCTGACGCAACCCTCCCCATTTCTCCGGGCTTGGGACCGGCACTGGGGAACAGTGCACCCCCAGGGGAGGGCACTGCCCCCCAGCGGCTGGGTTATTGTGCTTCCACTCTTATGGCGGAATATTTTTACAAGATAGGTGGGGGAAAAACAAAAAAGCCTTGCGCGAATGTGGCATTTATAGTCAGCGCGCTGTTGAGAAAAGCACGCGCAATTGCACTTCATTCATCTTGTCAGGACCACTTATCTACTGTATTTTGCTCTTCGCTACATTAACTCCCCTCTGTAGCGCCCTCATTCTTCATCTCTTTCAGGATGTAATAAATGTGCGCCTCATCTCGTTTGGATTTGAGAGAAAATAAGCGTTTGTTTTCAAGGTTGGCTTCCTCTCTAATTCATTCATAAATCTCTTCTACCTCGCAAAAAACGCGCCGCAGGACCGTGCTGGTCTCCCTGACGTCAGTGGTGGTTGTCGCCATCAGTACCAACTGGATCTGCTGGGACTGCCTGAACCGAGGCTTCCTGCCCAGCGATGAGGTCTCCAGAGCCTTCCTGGCCTCATTCATCTTGGTCTTCGACCTCCTCATTGTCATGCAGGTAGGAGTGCTCCCCGGTGGCCAATTAAAAACAACGCACGCACGCACGCACACAAAAAAAAAAAAAAAAAAAGAGTTGCAGAGAGTAAACTGACAAATGGTGATTCATCACAAAGTCCTGCAACTCCACAAAAAGAGGCAAGCCGAACACAGGACACATCCTACGATGAGATCAAGGCTGAGCGGCTTTTGCATTTCATGCGCACCTTTATAAAAGAACATGTGCAAATAGTAACGCCTGTGTGAACACAGGCGGGGTGGACGATCCAGCCCACCGTCCGGGTACTCGGCTATCAACTACACAACAAGTGATGGGAGGAGGAGGAGGACAGAAGCAGGGGACGGAAGCAGAGGTTTGCGTCGGAGTGCGTCGGGTATTCCCACCAGGACTCGCAAATATATTCTCCCTATGTGGGCGCACAACCATCATTTGTGGCCCTTTGCGTCTCCTCTCACCCGACATGAACCCCCGACTAAGCCCTACAACGTGAGCCGCCTTCGTTTTCCTTTTATGATGACTCACAAGATGGGCCACACAAACGCGAACGCAAACGCCTGCATCCCGTAGGACCATCAATGGGGCCTGTCTCGCTGTGGCTCATGAATATGCAGATGTGTTTGTTCGGGGCAAAAACAACAACTCGAAAGAGTGGCTACTAAGCATGAATAAAAAGCACGATTTGGATCGTCCTCCCTTGGTTAATGATGTCCCTTTTCCACTTCACGCTTCTTTAGAAGGCTCTTTTTGTGATTGATGCGTTTCCGTCAGCCCGAGTGGGCCCTCGTGGGTCACCTGGGATTCCGCGCATGCCAAGTCAAGACCACATGGGTCCCCGTGTTATTGTGCTATTTTCGGATACTTGGCTCGAAATGACAAATAACGCATGCTAACGTTAGCATCCCCTGTTGCGGTCGGTTACGTTGTGTCCCCGGCGGCCACGGCAATCACTTATCAGTCCACTGTGGATGAAACAAAACGGGAGGGCTATTGTTTGGACACACCTGCACTACTGTATTCTCCTCCACTCAGGGCACGGGTGTCTAAAAATACAAACGTCACGCCGCTTTTAACGGTAGTTGGTAGCTTCATGTTTGGCTAACTTCAAACCGGCAAGTTTAGGTCAAGCCTGGGACACACTCGGTATTAATCACCATGCACACACACACACCAGAAGGACCAAAACAAATGATTCACCTCCATGCTAATTTGCATAGCCGCGAGTACCTGACAAATTTCATGCAATTATTCACATTTGAATGTCGTTAATTCCTCAATTCCGCTTGAGTGAATCACAACATTTCTTGGCCGCACACTCTCCCCGAAGTGACGGATTATTTTGGCCACGACGCCCCCTGGTGTTCGCCAGTGGGACAACTCCCATGTTGCCCGCCGAGGATTCTGGGGCGGTTCATACGCAGTTAATCCTCCATGAGAAAACATGCGCGCTGTTGTTCTCAAACGAATTAATGATCTGCTTGGGATTCCTGCCTCCGAGCGATGGTTTACTTTTTGACTTGTGCGTGTGTGTAATTACGCAGCTCAATGTTAAGAAGAGGTAAAAAAAAAAAAAATGGAGTCCTTGGCGTGTCTCTGTATAGCACGAGAAAACCCGGCGAGTTTACTTTCCTCCTCTTTTGTCATTGCGACTCGTTATTTTATTTATTTTTTTGTCGGCAGAGCACCGAAATGCCACGCTCGTTAGCGCTGCTCACGGCTGCAGCCACCGCGGCACGCCATAGACGACTGCTGGGCTTAATTACTATGTTTGGGAGGCGGGGGTGACAGCACCGGGCTCAATGTGGGTTCGACTCTTTGTCGAGGGTCTCCTGAGTTTGGCCTGATTTGCGCAGATTGCCTTTGTGCTGCACATCTTTCTGGTGGCTCATCCTCAGGCCTGTTCGTGTGGAAAGCAGCAAAAAACGCCACAGCACAAACCGGGGGCTGGACTTCGGGAATAGCTTGGGAGTTGTCGGATTAGTATTTTCTGAATTTTACCATGCGGTGTTCGTTCAATATCGTAACGCGCACTCTGCGTTCCGGGAAAATTAAGTTATTCGTGGTCTATAAAATCCAAATTTTCCGCACTAAAAGTGGCACCTAAAAGCCTTCCGTTTTCTGAAAAGCTCACAGCACGCCTTAAAATCCGATGCGCCTTGTGCATGGTCATGACGGTAATATTCCGACCTCCAAAATGGTTCCTTGCTTGAGACGTGCTGACAACGCAGAGTTCAAACTGAAGGCGATCGGTTACGCAGTTGAACACGGAAATAGAGCAGCGGCAAGAGAGTTCAATGTTAACGAGTCAATGTTAAAACTTGCTGTTGGTTAAGTGAACTGTGTCGCTGCTTTATTTAATACGTTTTACTGACATCTGATCGTTCTGTTGGTGTTTCCTTGAGCGTAGCTCCATCTAGTGGATGCCTTGTAGATTGCGTCTTATGATGCGCCTGATGTATGAAAAAAAATTACAAAATAGGCCATTTATTGAAGGTGTGCCTCATCATCCAGTGCGCCTTTTAGGGTGGAAAATACGGTATTGGAATTTTCTCAGGAATAAGTCAGCCAAAGTGTGTTTTTAACGCTTTCGTGCATGAATCATGACAACCTCCATGAGGTTTTTATGACTCGCAAAAGACAATCAACTTTCCAATTTTCAAACACATGTTGTGTCCACTCGGCTGGACGACGTGCGTTTGGCCTTCTTGAAATGCATTCTGAAAATGGCCATACGTGACCGCAGTGAACACTAGCCGGCTAATTCAAAAGTTCTTTCCGACTTTCGATGCATCCGTCAAGACAGAGGCTGCTGCTCTGTCCTCACGTATGATTCTTGGCCTCTTTCTGGCCCATTCCTCGACTGCGAAACAGGAATGCAGTTTACAAAAGACTTAATTGGTTGTTCAATTTTACCCTTGACGGGAGGGCAGCCACTCTCGAGGCCCAGCTGCTCTACTGTCATGCTACACAAGCAATTAAAAAATCAATTTTCAGACGATATAATATTGTGTTTCGTGTGTGCAGGACTGGGAGTTCCCTCACTTCATGGGGAACATGGATCTAAATTTGCCGGGACTGCCCACGGCGCAGTTGAATTTCAAGCTTCCCGTCTGCAAATATATCGTCAAAGAGGAGTATCGCATTCATATCACAGGTAAGAACGTCTCGTCAAAATCGCCGTTGCTCCATAACGAAAGGAATATGTTGTTCTTGCAACCTCAGTTTTTTGTATTTTTTGGAGTACTAGAATGGATTCGTGTGCACACCCGTTCACGAGCTCACCGTGCTGTTGCTTCCCGTTCATGTAGCCGTTCGGCTCTTCCCTGCCAGCCGCATCTCTCCGTCGCTTATATTTCTTGAGAACTCTCTTACTTTCACTCATTTCGTCATGGCTCTCCACTGGTGACCCCGAGACACCCAAATCGTCGCCCCCTTCCACGAAACAAACACTCACCTATCCACACCTGAGGAAATGCATCTCTATTCAACCTGGTGGGAGACCGTGTTTTTCCTTTAAAGCTCAACTTCTTAACGGTTTCCGTTCAGCAACTTTCTTGGTTTGTCTAGCGTGAATTGCCGTTTTGAAATCGTAGCATAGCATCTCAGTCGGGTTGGTGTAAGGACTGTTGGCCCGTTGCATCACCTGTCCTGTTTTGAGCTTCAGTTGGCAAAGGTGGTCATAAGTTATCATGAATGTAGGAATTCATTTCTCCTTTGATGATAGAAATGCGTCCAGGCCCTGCGCTCTCAAAGCAGCCCTGAACCACAATGCGACACTGACCATATGTCGCAGTTAACCGTAGCTTGAAGTTTTGATGGTGTTGTACAGTTTTGTTTCATCTGTCCACGTAATGGTTTGCCAGTGGCACCTGTGTAACGGCCGAGCTTCAATAATTCTCCAATTAAAGTTTTCTGAGAGGGCTAGTTTTTCAGAATATAAAACTCAAGATTCCGATTAGCTCTCGGAGAAGTCTTGGGGGTTTGTTTGTGATATTGGGAATTGTTGTGAGTTGGTTGAAGTTCAGATGGCGTTTTCGTTTTTTGACCAATTCATGATGACAATCGGGTCTTTGTAAAGAATTCACAATACAACCAACTGTATCTATGCCTGCGACGTATGAACGGGTGTATCCACTTTTTGCGGCAATTTAGTTTTTGCGGTATGCCGTCAGATTTTCTTCTCATTTAAAAATCGCTGCCTTTTAACAATAAATGTCAGGCATAAAAGGCAAAAACAAGTTGCTTTCCACGGTCGGCGTTGAAGGGGCTAACATCATGCGTCTCCTCTCAGGGAAGTGGTTCAACTACGGCGTCATCTTCCTGGTGATGATTTTGGACCTGAATATGTGGAAGAACCAGATCTTCTACCAGCCGTATGAGTACGGTCAGTACGTGGGGCCTGGCAAGCAGATCTTAAACGTGGAGAAGGCCGAAACACTCAGGAAGTTCAACCGCAGCACGTTGACTTACGAGTGGCGCACCAAAAACGTGGACCCGAGCACCAACCGGCCCTACATGGAGCAAGACCTGTCCCTGCACAGTCGCTACATCGGCGCCAGCATGCAAATCAAGTGCCTGGCCTTCATCCCCAGCGTGCTGGCGTTCCTCTCCTTCGGCTTCTTCATCTGGTTGCTGGGCCGATTCCCCGACCCGGAGCCCTTCGCCGAAAACTTGGACACGAGCTACGAGAGGATGACGAGGAAGTCGCCCTCCGAGTACAGCAAAGAGATGGGTGCCACCCCCGAGGAACCGCGGGACGCCGGCGACTCAGACAGCCCGAAGCGCTCGGGGACGCCCGTGTCGCTATTCTTGGACAGGGTGCACTTTGCCAAGACGCCTCCCGCCAGCGACGCCATCTCCGCGGCAGCGCAAGAGGAGCATCCCGTCGTGGATATCGACCCCGAGACACCCGAGGACTGGGACGCCTCTCACGACATCCCGTTCCTCTTGTGGCTCGGCGTCAGTCATGACGCCGCTGAGCCGTATGAGGAAACCAACGTCTCTCACGACATCGCCCAACAGTCGCCGTGACCACTCGGTCAAAGCAGCGAGCCACGTAGCATTTTTTTAACGATATTTTCTTACTGCTCTGTTTTGAAACCAAAACTGTTTGACGGATCTTTCCAAACAGAACTTTGGCACGGTGCCTGCTGTGATTTATTTGTGCATTACCAATACTTGAGTGCCTTATAACCGAGGCCTATTCCTTGATCCCCACTGGTCCCGTTCATCCAACCGCAGCGACGGCCGTGCCTTCACTTTTCGTACACTTTGCAAGTCTAAGCCTCTGCGAGTACCTATCGTGCTTGAAGATGTCTGATTTAGAATCTGCTGCAGTCCTCTGAGACACATTTTCATGCCAACTTCACCTCAGAGCTGTAATCACGGTATGGGACTCTTGCTTTTTTTTCATTTAAAATGCAATTTCCCGGCCTTTACCGCAACAGCTCCCAGTTCTTGTTTATTTCTGGAGGTTTCTCCCTTCACTATCCCCTTTAGGAGGGGAAAATGCAGGCTTTGTTGGGTTAAAGGTCAGTGATTACATTGGCCAGTGTAAAACCTTCAAAAGCTGGAATCCTGAACTTTTGTCTTCTATTCATCTTTTGGTCTGAAAACCAAATGTCGTCAGCGCGCAATAAAAACAAAGGAAGTGACCTGCCATTCCAATACTTTTGGAACTAAAAGACGATTTGAGCTGTGAATCTTTTGAGTCACAAGCATGGTCACGGAACGAATTAAACTCGTATGCCAAGGCGCCACTGCAGCGAGGGAAGATTTTTTTTTACGCTGAAGATATTCTTACTTTTGAAATGTATACCCTGTTTTTATTCATATATTTGAAATTTTATATTTTTCAAAATGCCTGCTATACGTGCCATGGAAAGTGTACTCTTCGCCATCTTATGCCAGCCTACTCCATCAAAGTGAAGACAGAGTTTTGCCTTGCTCCAAAGTGCCTGCTTTTGGCTTTGATGACCCCATTCGGTGTCTTACAACGTGGATGCACATTTATTACTTTTTAATATTGTACTTCAAACGCTGCAACATTTATATGCGCTTGACTGCTTTCTGCCATTTTTCTCTCTGTTTTTTTTGTCCCCCCCCCACTTCACCTCCCAGCTAAAAGACGAATTTGCATACATTTGTGGCCAGCTCATACAGAAAAGAGTCTAATTGAATAACAAGCGTATTACTCATAGACATCAGTGCAATAATAGGATTTGCCTTTGCATGCATCTAAATTATAATGCACTCAACGCATGACACCGTAATATTCTGAAATGTGTTTCACTTTTAAAAGGAGGCAAACAAAATAATATATCAAAATCAAGAAGCATTACTGTGGCTGAAAACAAAAATCACACACACACACACACACACACACATTCACAATTATTTATATTCTTTAATTTGCAGGTCTTAACATTTGAAAGAAATTTCTTCAGTCTGCTGTGGAGAGCCTATACGTATTTTTCATTGGGTGTGTGTGTGTGTGTGTGTGTGTGTCCATGGGGTAAAGAGGTGGCTGTATTTCCCATAATATTCTGGAAGCGCTCGGTTGTGTAATTTAAACATGAAATGGCCCTATGAAGATATTAGTGTTCTCCAAGTGAACATTTTGCAGGAGGCTTTAATATGTTGGCAAAGTAAAACAACATCTCTTCCTGTTTGTGTATTTTTTTTTCCAAATCCAAAGCAGACGAAAAGTTGTCTTTTTTTTTTTTTTTTAACTTGATGTATTCAAAATGTCTGCTTAACTAATAAATTTGTACATTTTTCTACCGTTTGGACTCTGTGATCTTTGGTCTATCTCAGGGTGGTGCTAGACAAAAAACGTGGAAATATTGGGAATAATTTTGTATCTTAAATGCAGAACAAAAGTAAAAAAATAAAAAATAATTTAAAAAAATTCACATTTCAGTCCACTTCACCATAATGTCATGCTGTAAATTAAGTGGTTCAGAAAATGGAGGGATACCTTTCCATATTTTGAACACATTTACACGTGAGATTTAGACAAACAAAAAGTTCATTGCCAAATGAAGATACATTTTTTTAATAAACTCTAACAATTCATTATTTTTGATCATTAAATATATTTAATTTGCATTCGTGAATATACTGTACATATCATTTTTTAATACGTAGACATAATTCATTTCCTGTTCTGTATACATTTTTAATTGTACTATCCAGTATATATGTACACATTTGATATCTAATCTGTCTATCGATCTAAAATCACTAGCTAGCATGCTAGCTTATCTATTTGTGCTGGGTTCATGTTATAGTCTTATTTTGAAACCATTATCTGTAATGTGCTGAATACTGTTTTTTTTTTCACGACCATACGGTGCACTGCATTATTGGACGCAGGCATGGTAAACCGTAGGCTAGCTTAAAAAATACGGTAGCATGCATGTACGCTAGCGTATGTTTTATAAAAAAGCAAAACTGAGTTCGCTTAAGTATTTAACACTCTACTCACATTTTTGGATCAATCCTCATCCACAAGTCTCATCTTCTGCATCTGAAAAGAACAGCTGGGCAAGTTCGCAATCGAACACGTCGGGATTCCTCCCGTCATCGTCAAAGCGGGTCTCGTTGTACGGCTCCTTTTTTTCGAAAGCTCGAACATCAGTGCAAACAGACACGGCAGCCCAAGCCCGGCGCTGCCTTCAGTCTTTGTAAAACTCCTGTTCGCCATCTGTCATACGTCGCTCCCACGCCGCTCGCAAATTCACTTTGAACGCTGTTTTTACACCGATGCTCAGCGGTTGGAGTTGCTTCGTCAAGTCTCTTTCTCTTAAAAATCACTGGGGGTGGCCGTTTCATTCCATTACCATGGCAACCAAGTTACATACAAATAAAAGTCGATTGCTCGCGCTACTGTGTGCTTATCGCAACTATCCTGGTCTCAATCTTTTCGACAAGGTCGTTCACCGGGATGTCGAAAGTGAGCGGCAACTCGTCCATGTTGGTGATGTGTTTGGGCTGGATGTGTTTGTCGGCAATCTTTTTATGGCAGTAGGAGCGGAAGGTGGGGCCACTTTTCCTTGTAGTCAACCGGAAGTTTCTGCGCCACGGTCGTCCGCGCCCGAGTGGATAGTTCGCGCCATTTCATAAAACAAAAGCACCTTGTTTCCGCGGAAACTCGGCTTTATCTTCTTGACTTGGCGAAGCTCGTTCTCCTGCTTCCTCCACTTGCGAACCATGGATGCATTTATCATGAATTCTCTCGCGGCTGCTCGATTGCCATGTTCCTCCGCGTAACTAATCGCTTCAAGTTTGAACTGTGCTTCGTAGGCGTGTCTCTTCATCGGTGCCATTTTCCGGGTCCGAAGTTGTTTTGCCCACTCCACGTACCAGCATTATATCCACCCACGTCCTCTTTCACGCCCACTTTCCCCTTTAAAAATCAATCAATCAATCAATAAATCAATCAACCGAAATTAGTTTTTTTTCCATGTCTGCATAACACCTGGTATCATTTAAAATCCTGAGAGTAAGAGCTGCCTCTGTACCATGGTTCGTCCTAAAAGCAGACTGACGTTTCTCTAAAATATTATTTGTATGTTAAAAATAGTTGAATTCGAGAAAAACTAATTTCTCGAAAATCTTACTTAAAAATGGTCAATTTGATTTATTAAAATCGTTGGGTGGGGTCCAACCTGCTCTTCTTCAGAAGGGGCGTCACCACCGCAGTTTTAAAGGCGTCAGGTAATAAACGCGTCTGAAGATCCGCGTAACTAATCGCTTCAAGTTTGAACTGTGCTTCGTAGGCGTGTCTCTTCATCGGTGCCATTTTCCGGGGTCCAAAGTTGTTTTGCCCACTCCACGTACCAACATTATATCCACCTACGTCCTCTTTCACGCCCACGTTTCCCTTTAACAATAAATCAATCAATAAATCAACCAACCAAAATGAGTATTTTTTCCATGTCTGCATTACACCTGGTATCATTTAAAATCCTGAGAGTAAGAGCTGTCTCTGTCCTATGGTTCGTCCTAAAAGCAGACTGATGTTTCTCTAAAATATTATTTGTATGTTAAAAATAATTCAATTGGAGAAAAACTAATTTCTCGGAAATCTTACTTAAAAATGGTCAATTTGATTTATTAAAATCGTTGGGTGGGGTCCAACCTGCTCTTCTTCAGAAGGGGCGTCACCACCGCAGTTTTAAAGGCGTCAGGTAATAAACGCGTCTGAAGAGAGCAATTGACTATATTTAAAATGCAGTGCTCATCGAAGCAACAATCACAGATTTTGGAATTCAGTGCATGGATTCAGTGCCCCGTCTATTTTGGAGAAAAAAATGGAAGACTTTCAAAGTGCAACCTATAGTCGTGAAAATACGGGTCCAATATCAACCATGAAAGCCAATGTAAATGGAAATACTTTATTTCACTTCTACACAATAACAAGCTGGGAAAGAAAGAAAAAAAAACCCCTCACAAACATATGACCAAAAGAGAAGCGCAATAAAAAGCTACAAAACAACACGTAGTACTGACGACTGGTTAGTAAGTGGCAAAAAAACAAAAAAACGCTAACAGGCTTCTAAAGAGTCATCATCATCAGCATCATCATTTTATCCATTAAGAAATTTGCAAAAAGAAATGTTTGGACATCAAGCACAACCATGCCAGTTAATATTCATATTTTACAAGGTTCATGTGGATGGATCCTTAAACAAAGAGTGAAGGCCATCATTGAACTGTGCTTCGTAGGCGTGTCTCTTCATCGGTGCCATTTTCCGGGTCCGAAGTTGTTTTGCCCACTCCACGTACCAGCATTATATCCACCCACGTCCTCTTTCACGCCCACTTTCCCCTTTAAAAATCAATCAATCAATCAATAAATCAATCAACCGAAATTAGTTTTTTTTCCATGTCTGCATAACACCTGGTATCATTTAAAATCCTGAGAGTAAGAGCTGCCTCTGTACCATGGTTCGTCCTAAAAGCAGACTGACGTTTCTCTAAAATATTATTTGTATGTTAAAAATAGTTGAATTCGAGAAAAACTAATTTCTCGAAAATCTTACTTAAAAATGGTCAATTTGATTTATTAAAATCGTTGGGTGGGGTCCAACCTGCTCTTCTTCAGAAGGGGCGTCACCACCGCAGTTTTAAAGGCGTCAGGTAATAAACGCGTCTGAAGAGAGCAATTGACTATATTTAAAATGCAGTGCTCATCGAAGCAACAATCACAGATTTTGGAATTCAGTGCATGGATTCAGTGCCCCGTCTATTTTGGAGAAAAAAATGGAAGACTTTCAAAGTGCAACCTATAGTCGTGAAAATACGGGTCCAATATCAACCATGAAAGCCAATGTAAATGGAAATACTTTATTTCACTTCTACACAATAACAAGCTGGGAAAGAAAGAAAAAAAATCACCCTCACAAACATATGACCGAAAGAGAAGCGCAATAAAAAGCTACAAAACAACACATAGTACTGACGACTGGTTAGTAAGTGGCAAAAAAAAAAACGCTAACAGGCTTCTAAAGAGTCATCATCATCAGCATCATCATCATCATCGTCATCGTCATGTTAGCTGTCATAAATGTTTGGTAAAAAGACGATTGTTGTTTTTTTTTCTTCTTTTTTTCTTTTTAATGAACACACCAAACCGGCTGGCATTTACAATGAAACAATACATTTCAAGATCAGTGAGGAGACATTAAAGTGGTGGTGGTATTTTTGTCTTCTGTTTTTTGTTCTTTCTCTTTCTTGTCTTATCCATTAAGAAATTTGCAAAAAGAAATGTTTGGACATCAAGCACAACCATGCCAGTTAATATTCATATTTTACAAGGTTCATGTGGATGGATCTTACACAAAGAGTGAAGGCCATCATCATCATCATCATCATCATCGTCATCGTCATGTTAGCTGTCATAAATGTTTGGTAAAAAGACGATTGTTGTTTTTTTTTCTTCTTTTTTTCTTTTTAATGAACGCACCAAACCGGCTGGCATTTACAATCAAACAATACATTTCAAGATCAGTGAGGAGACATTAAAGTGGTGGTGGTATTTTTGTCTTCTGTTTTTTGTTCTTTCTCTTTCTTGTCATTTACATGGAGAATGCTGTACAGGTGCCTTCACAGCCACTAAAGGCACACGGGGTCCACTGAGCAACAGATGTGTCCGTTCTGTCAACACAAAGGCAACAAAAGCGACACGCTTTACACAGGTAATGAACAAAAAAGTCCATCCTCTCGCTTACTAACTTGGTAATAAAATGTTTTTTTTTCTTTTTAGCTCATTTTTTAAGACTGAAATGTCAGGCAAAAATTTGTATTTTTTTTTTTTAATATTTTCAGAATTGTGGGGTTAGAATGTCAGTTTATTTGGTCAAAATTCGGTCTATTGTGGTAAAAATCTTTTTTCTTTTTTTTTAAACTAAGGTCCAAGTTTTTTGTTTGAATTGTCACGTTTGGGTGCAAATTTAGAGTTTTGGGTTTAGAAAAAAATGGTTTAAAATGTCATTGTCTTGTTTAAAAAAAAACCTTTGGGTTAAAAAATTGGGTTTTTTTTTTGTTTTTTTTTGGTAAATTGTCAGACTTGAATGAAAATGCATTATTTGGTTGAACTGCCTTTTTCTTTGACGATTTGTTGGTTGTTTTCGCAAGATACATGTTTGTTATAAAAATATATATTTTTAGTGAAATTATTGTTATTTTTTGGGGGGTAAGATGTTATTTTTTGTGGGTAATTTTTTATGTTTGGAAAGAAGTTTATTATTGTTATTATTATTATTGAAATATATGATTCCTTCTGTTAAATTAGTTTGGTCAGTTTCTTAGACTTATTTTTGAATAGAGTTGTCAGTGTTGTGTAAAAAAATAATTTTGTCTTTTTGGGGCGAGGGTCAACATTGTTAGATTCTTTTGTTGAGATAAAAAAAGTTGTTTTTTTAATTTTTTTTTTTAAGGGGGGCCTTGTGCAGGTAGGTGTAAGCTAATGTGTCATCACAATTACTCAAGTCGAATTTTCCTACTTGATCAACTCTCGCCGTCATCGCCTTTAGTCTATGAATGTGTGTGGGTTTTTTTTTTTTTTTTTTTTTTTTTTGCTGTTGTTGTTACCTTGCACTGGCACAGGGTGCACTCGGTGCCGTGTTTGACCCAGGAGGAGCCGCTGAAGCGCGAGACGCCGTGCTCGTCGGCGCACGTCTTGGTGATGTCGTTGCGAATGGTGTCCGCCTGGCAGGGGTCGCTCACGCACCGCGGGCAGCACTCGCCCTCGGGCACCGCCGTGAACTCGCAGTCGACGGGCGGGCACGGCAGAGGCCAGCAGTCCACCTGCCCCTGCTACGCGACAACAACACAAACACAGAGGAGTGGAGGGTCGGCGGGGGGAATACAGTCAAACAACAACAGATGCTTGTTACCTCCACCATGGAAGTTATGCTGGAAAGAGGGCGATTTCGCTGGTGCGTATTAGATTTCGGTGCATATTCTACTCAGGAATTTACAATTGTATTATTTGTAATCACAGTGATCCTGATAACCTCTCAAGCCGTTTCCTGGTAGCTGACATTTAGCTAAGGCCTGACCGCTACGGATTTTTTTGAGGATGTTGGTTCCGATATTTGGCAGGATGAAATTGCAATAACTGATTAATCAGCCAATTCATTAAAAAAAAAAAAAAAACACATCCGGTAATGAATAAATTAACATCTTCTTCAATCCCTTCACACTTACAACAACAGAGACGGACTTCAGCCAGAAACATTTTGACTGTTTTATAACACTCCAGTATTTCTTTCACTTTACAACAGAGAGAAAAATCCGCAAAATAAAGTGCAACCAATTTTTGCACAGTCTTTTGGTGGGGGTGGAAAATTTGTGTATGACACTATTTTGTTTTATGTTGTAACGTGTTCATATGTTAAAAAAAAAAAAAGGCCCAAAAAGAGGATAGCAAAGCGATATAACCGGTGAGAGGAGCGACCACATTAAACATGACGTAAAAATTTGTACACGCATGTATACCGAGTGCGCCGTGGACCTTTTTGAGTGTGGATGATTTCGAGACATCGACCTTATTATCATGGCACAAGATAGACGGCGTCTTTTGCAAATGACTGACAAGCGGAGTCGAGTCACATGCGCCTATTTTCAAGCAATGTGTCCCTCCCCAAAATCCCGATGCTTCATGTCAGACTGCAGGTTGCGGAACGCGTCTACTCAATGACACCCGCTGACATTCGCCATCAAGCTCCCTTTTCGAGCTCGCACAGCTGCAGGTGGACAGATAGACACAGCGGGACGCTTTTTGATTATCTGGCCATTCCCTTGAAATTGCAAACCGCCAGCTGTTCATGTGTGCGTTTTCTGGTTTAAAGGCGAGCGTCTTGCCGGACCCCGCATGATGACACGTCCTTATGCATATGTGTGGAGGCTGGTGGGTGAGCCGCCCCGCTGAGGCCGGACCGCCTCGGAGGCATTCCATTCTTGACCTTTTCTTAATGTTCGTCAACAAGCGGCGCCAAAGCACTTCCTGTGGCTCAGAAGAAGGTTGACGATCGCTCGGTTTGCAAAAGGCTGAGAAACTCTGTCAGGTTACCGGTAAATTTCCATGAGAAGTTCATTTTGGAGCTACATTGGGGTCTTGAGATACAAGTTACCTGACGTGTGAGTTTTTCGAGATACAAGCCTTCATTTTTTTGGTGGTTTGCCTTCAAGCAAAAACTTGAGATCCAACTTGTGTATGGTGACCGTGAACTCAGCTCAGCAACAGGTAAGCAGTAAGTTGGATGAGTTTATTGCCAACCCCAGTTGAAGTTTACTGTCAAACTAAGCATCAAACAAAGGAAATGTGACTTTGTGTGCTTGAAACAATCACATCGCATCATCTCGGGAAACTGCTTCCATTGCTCACAAATAACGCAAAATGCAAAGACGGCCAACGAAACAAGTTTGAGTGTCATCGCGATATAAAACTTGAAACAACACAAACAGCAGGGGGTTAACCTACGCAAAAAAAAAGACCATATTTCCTTCATAGATATCTGTATGCCTGCATTATACTGCCCCCATGTGGCCAAGGTGCACAGAGCAGACGGAGCAGCTTAATGTCCATTCATTTGAAGCAAAAAATGTAATTATTTGATTTGACATTCTATTTCAATGATGCCACTCCCGCATGCTTTCGCAGACACAAAACCGTGGGGAGAGAGGCAAAAGCGTGACTTTGCCTCTCGTGCGTTTATCTGGAATCCCTCATGGGGCCGCCTACCTGCTCTGTCAACAACAGCGGAAAAAAGGTCAAAGTGAGACAAAAAAAGGGAAACAGTGGACGCTTGACCTGTGAGAGTCACGCGGCGAACCGAGAAGCCTCGGAACACACGAGCTTGACTAACACAAAACTTGGTCCCTCCCACAGTCGCCTTCTTCCTGCTGTTTAACTCGGCAGAATTGTCCGGTGTCATGTTGGGCCCATCAAAACACACAACAGTGCAAAGAGGTCATTTGGAATCCTCCTACATGTCGATAATAACTCCTCTTCCGTCACTCCACTGACCAAAGCTTCATTTTTCTCCTTTTTTTTTCCGACCTTTGTCGGCCACCTCGCCAAAACTGGAAACTCTCGTCTTCGCTGCCGTTTCTATGGCGACTGCAGCCTTCTCAAGTTATTTTCTGTCGTTAACAACTGTAACATCAACTGAAGCTGAAGCGGGGCTCGAGAGACGTTTCGGTGACAAAAGAAGGCGCTCTAACAAAGCAACGTGTCAAGGATCTCCCATAACGGGCCCTCGACTAGCGACTGTTAGTCGAGGGCTGATATCGGTCCCTGTCGCTGACACAAGTGGCAACCTCAGCAGACACTGCAATGACGCAGTCAAACACACTAAGAACAAAAATGAAGCCAATTTAGTTGTTTTTGTTTTTTGGGAGAGTCTCCACCATCCTTCGTTGCCCGGGGCGCCCCAGGGGCCGTCTACAAACACCTCTGAGTGCAAACATCTGCGCGGATGTTGAGCTGCCAAAGTGATGACGTAATCACAACTTCTATTATTTTATTCGGTAAGAACCGTATTTTCCGCACTATAAGGTGCACCTAAAAGCATTCCATTTTCTCAAAAGCCGCCAGTGCGCCTTTTGATCCGATGCGCCTCATATATGGAGAAATATTTTGATTTCTTGACTGTAGTATTTTAAATGTTCTTTGCTACAGCCGCAGCGGTTGTGAAAGTGCCAGATTGATTCATTCATTCATTCAAGGTGCAGCTAATGCCTTCAAGTACCTTATAGTGCAGAAAATGCGGTACATTTATTGGCTGCTTTGACTGTTTCTGTTTTTGATTATTTTCTTCCACAGGAAAATTCCTATATTATCATTATCAATATCATCATTATTAATATTATAGCATTATCATTCTCATCATTATTAATATAATAGCATTATTATTATTATTATTCTTCTTCTTATTATTATTATTATTATTATTATTGCTTGTGGAGGCTCTCAGTCGTACAGGAAAGTTCCATCGTAGGCAGGGTTCTACAGATGACGACTGACAGAACCCTTTCTTCGATATTATTGTCATTATTATTATTATTATTATTATTATTAGCATTAGCATTATTACAATCACAGCAGTGTTTGTGGCGGCATTTCACGTTTTATATTTCCTGGGAGTCTTAGAGCACAAAAAAGTAGTCGTTAAGTCAGAATTGATTTGAAATTTTTTCGACATTCTGCTTAGATTGGAGCTAAGTACCCTCCGCAGATGCAGCTCTGGTTTAAAAAAACCAAACAAAACAACAAAAACAAAAACAACATCAAAAACCCCACGATGTTTGCAGCAAAGCACACCAAACTTGTGCGATACGTCCGCTTCTTGTGTTATTTGTGGCTGAGGTGAAAGCGCTTGCAGTCACGCACTCACCAGGCACTGGCACTGCTGGCATTTCTCCACCCAGGTGTCGCCGCTGCCGTAGGTCAGCGCTCCGTTCTGGTGCAGACACTGGCTG